GATTGGCGTCAACACTGTCTTCGACTTTGCTGTCATTGAAGCAGGCTCTTTGAGGCCCCAAGTTTCCCCTGTCGTCTACGTTGATCATCTCTTCTTAAGGCACTCTTCCAAGTTTCGAGCTTGTCTGAATATCGGCGAGCTTGCGAATTGTAGCTTCATTCCTCCTCGGTCGAAGGGAGATGCTCGAGGGACAAACTGTCGCGACTGCGGGCCTGGAAGCGTGTTCATTGACTACGCCATGAAGTACTGCACTTCAAACGATCGTAACAATGACAACGACGGGAAATATGCAGCGCCTGGAAAGCCCAATCAAGCGATTGTCACACGTTTCCTCCAGACGCACGATTACTCTCGCGTCTTGCCTTCTTTAAGCATAGCCCGGGATATGTTTGGCGAACACGAAGCGCAACGAGTTGTTGATGAGTGCATCTTCATGAAACTCTCCGAAGCAGACACTATTGCTACTGTTACCCGTATAACAGCCGAGAACATCTTGAAGCAGTATCGCAGACTCCTCGCGCTCCGCTTTCCTGCCGGCCAGGGCGTCGACGAACTCTTCATTAGTGGCCCGAGTGCGCGCAACGCGAACATCATAGACTACCTCGAAGCGGAGCTCCCCGAGAGCGTGATAACAAAGCCATTCGACGACATAGGCATACCAGGCGATGCGAATGAGGCCGTGTGTTATGCGCACCTTGCATTGGAATCGGTGCTGGGACAACCAACACGGAGTTCTACGGAATTATCGCGGCCTTGGAGCCAGTCGGGTCATGATTCTGTACTGGGAAGGGTGGTGCGGGGCGAAAGTTGGGAAACCCTGACGGCTCAGCTGCAAAAGTTTGGCGATGGGAAGCCTCGCATTCTGGCGCAGAACGTGGAGATTATCGGTCATCAAGGATCTGGGAGTGACATGATAGAACGAACACAATGACGGAAAAACGGGACGTTGACGGAGTGGAAGGTACGAAATGGCAACGCCGTTCTTGTTTCCTAGGTCAGAGCGGTGCTGCGCTCTTTCCCGCGGAGCTCCTTTGAAGGCAATTTTCTTACGTCACAGGGAGTATGGAGCTCGACGCACAACTCGGCGAGGTGTTTGAATAGCAACGCACGCGTGCACCTAAGATTCTGGTTACGTGCGCTTTTACATTCCAAGTGTTCCTTCCGCGATGCTTTGGATGTAGCTCAGCTTTGGCGTAGCTAAGCAGTATATGGCTTCAGGGCGTCAAAAACAAGATTGCTCCTGACAAACATATCTCTCGCAGCTAGCATGAGATGCACATGCTGGATTGTATCTACGATTTGCACGACATTCCCCCTAAGCTGCAACGCTGATCAGAGCGTCTAGATATCCGTTAACAGATCTCGACGGACAGGGACTCGTGTTCTCGATGAGGCAAACCGGGCGCAATCGAATCGCAGTCTTACATCCATTGTGACATCACGTGGTCATCGTGAATACGATACGCAACCAGACAATCGTCGTGATACGGGATAGCGAGTCAAGAAGTTTGCGTTGCACGTACGCCGCATGTACACAACGTCTTTCACCGGTGGCGAGCGGGAGCGACCCGCTCATCGTGCACCATGCGACTGCGCTTCGAAGGCCCAATCCTGCAATCGATTGTATTATTCAAAATCCATTCGTAGTGCTCAAAGCCGTGAGAAGAATAGATTGAATAATTGTTTCGCTAATTACAAAATTTACTGGCCCCCTTGTTGAGCACTTGTTCTGCTTCAAGGGACCGCGGTTGCGGTGACAGTCTCGTTTTGTTTGCCTTCGATGATGTCGCGCATGATGCGCGCCTTCTGTTGCTCTTCCGCCTCACTGCTGACATCCTTGAAAACCTGATCCATCTCCTCCAAAGTCTTGCCAGATGTCTCTGGGACTACGAAGAATGTGAAAACAAAGGCGAGTCCACAGAAGACGGCGAAGAAGGTATAGGCTCCGAAACCGGTGTTTTGAACAAGAGGAGGAGTGATCAACCCCTGGTATACAAGTCAGTCACTAGTCACAGACATTAAAGACGAAGGGAAAACTTACGATGATGAAGTTGTTGAACCAGTTGGAGCACGTTGAGAGTGCAACACCCTTAGCTCTCAAGGAAGATGGGAAGATTTCCGAAGGCATAGCCCACGGGACGGGACCCCAAGTAGCACCGAAGCTGAACATGTAGAAGAATAGGAAGGCGACGGCAACCCAGCCCTCCACTGCGAAGTCTAACCATCGTCCACCAAACTTGCCAACCAAGACAGCGATGATGAGATGGCAGATAAACATGAGAGCGGCACCGGTGAGGAGTAGTGGCCGGCGCCCGAAGCGGTCCATGGTCCATAGACTTGTTGCGACACCAACAAGCTGCGTGCAGTTGATGATGCCGGAAAGTAGAAGCTGCATCTCGTAGTCCTGGCCTAGTGTTTCGAAAAGAGAGGGCGAATAGTAGATCAGAGCATTGATACCTAGAGTCGTGTTAGTATTTTCTCACGTCGGGGTAAGGAAGAACATACCAACAAACTGCTGGAAGAACATGATGCCAACTCCGACGACAGTGCGCTTCCAGCATCCATGTCTAAAGCAGTCGAGCCAAGACTGAACCTCAAGCTTGAACTCGTTCGTGCGAGTTTTGGCTTGTAACTCCGGGTGCCTCTCAACGCTCACTTCGTGGTTAAAGGTAACTTCTGCGCGGATCTCGCACCATTCTTGGAAGATGCGCGGGTCGTCAGTGGGAAGCTTGCGGAGCTTGCCCAGTACGACTAGGGCTTCGTCGTCGCGGCCTTTGCTGGCGAGCCATCTCGGAGAGAAGGGCAAGAAAACAATGCCAGCACCCAGAATAAGACCGGGAATCATCTGGATAAGGAACGGGAGACGCCATGACCATTCGCCGGCCATGAAGCGCGTGCCATAGGTCGTCCAGAAGGCGATCACGATGCCGAGGACGATGCTGAACTCCTGCAGGACGAGAAGAGCACCGCGGATCTCTGGTGGCGCAATCTCCGAAATGTAGAGTGGGGCGATAGTTGCAAGACTACGCGTGGTTAGCATCTATCTCGTGTACGACCATGGCTCAACATACGCTCCAATTCCCCATCCTCCGATCAAACGTCCGACCGTCAACATGGCGTAGTCCATTGCTGCTGTTTGTAGAAAACTTCCGATCGTGAAGATGATGACTGCGACGACAATGGAATATTTCCTGGAGAGTTTGTCTGCAATCCAGCCGGCAAAAAGGGCACCGATCAGTGCGCCCAATTCAAGCATAGCAGTCATCAGGCCCTTCCAGAAACCAGCTCCTGAAGCTTCACTCGAGACACGCGGAAACCGGTCGAGGAACTGATCCATGACGAGCGTTACGGAAATAACACCCTGATCGTATCCAAAGAGAAGACCTCCAATCGTAGCAAAGGCTGCACACATGGCGACGTAAGGGTTTGAGAAGAGGCCGCGGAAACCTGGCTCTAGGATTAGCCCACGTGTGATTGAGGTTCCACAAAGTGATATGCATACCTGCTGGTCCATAAGGTTCCCGAGTCACCGTTCCCTGTTTGCTAGGGTACGGAGACATTGCCTCGCGCTGCTCATAAGGGGCGCTCTTGATCGAATCTTGTCCACCCATGATGACGTGCAGTGATATGGGTCGTGTTGTGCTGAAATCGCCTGTGTAGTGGATGGCCTGGCTAGGAGGGAGCAGTGAATGCGAGGAGGCAATCGACCGCTTTATGCACTTTCGATATCTCGCTTGATGCCGCGTTAACTCTTGTCCGGTGGGTCCACACCATGTACAGTATCTGCCAACGCTAGTGTCAGGCGTCTGACTGCCGTTAAGCGCACATCCGATGACTTCCCAGAACGAACGCCAAGGAGTGTGGATGAAATGCTAGGAACAACCACGGCCGGCGTTTCTGAAGCGGCTTCACGTTAGCTCAGCTTCACACCTGCCTCTTGCGACCTTCTGTCTGTTAGGTTAGCGGGTGACTTGAGATGCCAGCGCGGTGAGCGCATGTGGGGTTTGTGCTGTTGAGGCTACGCCGCTTGGATCGGAAGATTCGCTCGAAGTTTCTGTGGGACCCTTGCGTCCGAGACTGACCGAGCTGCTCTGCTACGGATCGTGAGAATCAGTAGCAATTGCATGATGAACGTCTTGATGCTAATCTTGAAATTAGATCGCGTGACATTGGTCTCCAGATTTGCTTCTGAGAGGCTGGCACTGGCTCCGCCAACCTTCAAAACCCCTGCTGCCGGCGTCATACGCCCTTCTCCGCATCTTCAAAGGCCGCGGTGACCGTATGGGGTGCTCGGAGACCCCAGAAAACGCGCGCGAGCGTGCCAGTGCTACCCCGGATTCCCCAAAATTAGGCTCGCGTCGTTCCGCGCTGCGCAGTCGTCCAGTTGGGTAAACGTCCTTTCAAAGCTGACCATCTCAAGGGAAAAGCTGCCGGCGAAAGTGGAGGTCGCGGCGGGAATTCCTGCTTCAAGCGGACATTAGTGGAAGCTAGGTGCTGGACTAACCCCGATCAGCATCGGAAGGAAAGAGTCGCCGACAAGTGGGCCGCGCTACTGAAGGGACAGTAATTCTAACCGCCGACCTGTCATCCTTCCGATATCACGCACGACGTCACTACATCTTTCGATCACTCATCAGCTCAGTCTCAGTACAAGACAGAAACGTGGGGTCTCCACATTCCCTCTCACCCGTTCATCTGGGGGAAAGTACGGCGACTGATGTTCGTGGTCTCCCCGGACAATGTAGAGCGGAAGCGGAGTGAACTCTTCGAACCCCTCCACCCAAGAAAGAATGTGATGTATGTCTCGTATGCACTGCACATTCAATGGCGGCATTCATTAAGATTTCTATGTCCCGATACATACTTCGCGCGACCAAGGGATCACGTAATAGGAACCGAAAGAACGAGCAGATGGTATTCCGTTTCATGCTTCTATTACAGCTGCTCTAACACACTACGAGGTACTTATCCTACCCTGAAAAGTTCCAAAACATGACATTTTACCTCATCAATGTAGCCTCGCTATGCCCACAATCAAGCGCTTGTCTCCATGAAAGCCCACCCTCTCCCTCTTCATCAACATAGTAATGCGATGGGTGATCGAGACGGGCGCGCCAGCACGAGGGCGTACAATTTATCCTCTGCATCATCTCGCGTCGTACAGCGCGAATAAATGCTGCCGGCAGGACCCTCAATTCCTCCACTAGTGGGATGGCATCCTGAGACAACAATTGCTCAGGGTCAGGGAGAAGGTACGCGAACAAATCCGCCAAAAGCGTACGCAGACGTGAATCAGAAACCGAAAACTTATACGTGAATAAGATGACATCGTCCAGCTCGAGGCGCCAATCATGGATATGCACATAGGTAAACGAATTCATGACATCGTTCATCCAAGCCCTGTCGTCGATCCGCTCGCCAAAAATGTATGCGCGAGCCAAGAACATGAGAACCTCGTCAGCTCTGGAAGGAGTGAGTCGACCAAGGGAAGCCATGGTAGGAAGCCTACCACGATCTAGCCACTCCACGTATTCTTTGACCACTCGGCTGGAGAATTGTTCGCCCACGAAGTGGCTCCTCACTTTTCCAGAAGCTGGGTATAAGTTTCCAGGTTTAATGAAGTGATCCGTGTTCCTCGCCAGGGTGCGTTGGTAAGCTATTGCGGATCTATCATACTGGTGATTTACAACCAGCTCTACAACTAAATCAGGGTCCGCTTGGATTAGGATTGGTCGAGGTGATCTGCGTTGATCTGGAGTTGATCGAACCGGAGGCGTTGCAGGCACGTTGAATCTTCCGAGTGGTGTTCCGCTTGCTGAGCCATAAGTCGACCCAGCCGTGCCATGGTTGTTCCGCTCTGGTTCCAACGATCGCCGGTTCTGGCTAGACTGTGCGAGACCGTTAGACGGCGGTGCTGGCCGACCATAAGGAAAGCCGCTTCCTTGATTCTGCGGCCCGGTGGAAGCTGATGGCGTGGCGGAATTGGAAGGTCGCGGTGCTCGCGGGCCATTGGAGATCTCGATTTCTTGGTTCTGCGGCCTAGTGGAAGCTGACGGCGAAGCGGTAGACTTTTTCAGGATCCCTCGAAGAGGAGGCTCCGCCCTACCATGAGACTTTGGCTTCGGGGCTGACGAAGACGGTACTTGTGCCTGGGCGCCTTGGTTGCGGGTGATGGTTTCGTGTTTGGCCGGCGGCTGTGGCTCAAACCATGGCTCTGTCTGGGTGCCCTGGTCTCGGGTAGGAGTTTTGGGCTTGAACGGAGGCCGTTGAGGCGTCCATGGCTCTGTATTGGTGCCTTGGTCTCGGGTAGGGTTCTTAGGCGTGACTGGGGGCAGCGGAGGTGTCCAGTGTTCTGTTTGGGTGCCTTGAACTTGAACAGAAGTCTTAGACTTGCTAGGCCGTTGTGACTGTACCGGTAATTGTGTTTGAGCCTGAATAGGCGGCTTGGACTTGGGAGGCTGCTGCAACTGTGCCGGTGGTGGTGCTTGGGTTTGTTGGACCTCAGTAGAGGACTGAGGCTTGCTTGGTAGTTGCGGCTTATCAGCAAGGGGTCGCGCAGTCGCAGGCTGCTTTACCATTTCCTGAGTAGGTGGTGCAGGTCGATCGTTGAGCTTCGGCTTTTGAGGCAATTCGGTCGACGCTCGTACTTTGTTTCCCTGATCTTCAGTAGGCTCACGGGTTTCTCCAAGCTGTTCTTTGAGAGGCGACGGTGACAGCGCCCGATGAGCTTCGAGAGGAGCTGATGACTCGTCGCTAGAATTTCCAAGTGCTGCTTCATCCTCGACCTTTGGCCGGCGCACAGCGTTATCAGCTGCAACGATCGTATCCTGCTTCTCTTTGCCATCTGTTACTTTCACGTCTTCTTGTAACGTTTGTGTTTCGAGCGAAAGATGCTTGAGCTTATCGCCGACATCCTCATGAAAGTTTGTAGTATCTTGGAGCTGTCCAGCATCTTGAGACTTCGCATCATCGGTGACGCCTTTCTCACCAAAAGACCATGAGTCGGTAGGGACTTGGATGCTAGGAAGGGCATCACTGGAGACATCTTCAGCGTCTGATACGTTGCTTGCCTTGTTCTTTCGCGTTGACGGCGTCGTAGTCCAAGGTATCTCAGTCTCCGCGACATCGGGCTCTTGCTGTGGAAGCTCGTCCTGCGGGTCGTCGCTCTTGACTGGCTCAGTTTCAGTTACATCCTGTGCCTGTTCTGTAGTTGGAGTGGATTCGATGGGCTCTTCGGAAGTTTCGGCAACGTCGTCCGGTTCGCGTGTCGCATCGTCTTCGGCATCATCACGATCCCAAGCTGAGGAAGAGTTGAGGTCCTCCAAGGTTCTGGTTTTGTTCTCTTCTTGCTTGTCGCTCATGCCGCCGCGTCCCTTCTTTTTCTTGCTGGAACTGGCCATCCCATCGGCGCCGGCGGCGCTCTTCTTCTTATTCTTGCCTCCCATCTTTGTGATTGCTGACGTTTGCTTAAAAATGAGGCTCAGGTGACTCTTGGTGGAGTTTGATGGAAGTTCTGGTTGAGTGGAGTAGAGTAAAGAAGTGCAGTGTTGAGGTATTGAGTCGAGGGATCGGGGGTTTATATAGGCTAGGGGAGTGGCAGAACGGCAGCTACTCAGTCGGTCGGTGCAAATGCACGTACCTATTTGGAACAGCCACCGGAGACTGCACACATTCTTCAGTGTGGTTGCGATAGCGGCGATGGGTGAAATGCAACTGAAGTGAAAGACATTCACAATCGCGTATCATAGCGTACGCTGGATATCTTCCAGGCATCGTCAAAACTCTACGGTATAACCTTTTGTAGTGGGACGCACCGAACTTCATGGCTTGGGTTTAAATACTAGAACATTTAGAAGAGTATATACTGCTGCATACTGTGAAACAAGGTGTTTAGGGAATACACACGCATTGCAATTATATACTGTGTTACTTAACTGCGTTGTGCCCGCATTCAAGCACCAGACGTTTAACAAAGCAACAGTCTTTTGTATGCAAACGAGGAAGCCTGCTAGTCTAGTTTGTATCGTGAGGAAAGTCTTCATTGACGAATCGAACTTTGAAAAGGCCCCAGTGCCGCACGATGAGCTCCCTCCTATTATTAGAGAGAAGACACCTCGTACCAAAGACGCGCACATGCTGTAAGCACATACAGATCTCATTGTAAGGTAAAACTTAAACAGGGCTGCAGGATACGTTGAAGCAACACTATACAAAGTAGGCAATCTAACGTTGACGTAGGCTCTACGCGACCTTGTCCTTTAAGAGGGACGGAGGTTGGTGTTACATAGTTTCTCTTGCCTGAATGGTGTACAGCAGGAAAGTCGCCACCCTTTAGTCGCTGATGGTATTGTCATCGGTGAATGGCGTAAACCAATTTTGTATGCTAGTAACATGTTGAAACATATCTGCGGTGGCGAGTGAAGTAGTGAGTCCACGGATTGCTGCGAGGTCGGCTAGAGTGAATTAGATTTGCGATAGCGCACGAACGAATACAAACTGGTAGCAGAACATACATTTCTCAGACTTCGTTCAGCATAGGCCAATAACCTTCCGTGTACTCATCCCATGGGCGCGAAAGTTTCTGTATCGAATTTATCCTTGGTATCGCATCCAGAACGTCCACCAATGCTTCGCGAGGCAAGCGATTGAAGTCTGGCCTTCGATCCTCGTCCTGAAGGGTAGCATATGCACACATGTCCGCGGCTAACGCCCTGATGGGCGAGCTTTCGGGTGTGCCACGGTAAAGAACACGTATAGCCTCCTCAGAAGGAAAATCTGGTATACAGAGTCTTCTCCGGTCCGGTGGCTTATCTCCGACATCATAACTATCGTTTTGAACACCAGCCATGGTGTTGAGAACAGTCTGCTGATAATGTCGGTCCAGTATCTGCTCACCAAACACGTATGCGGTCGCAAGGTCGATCCAAACTGGATTGTTCTCCTCTTGATCATGGAAGGTTCGATAGAGATCGAAGCACCTGGCTGGTACTTTTCCAGAGTACAACCAGTGTGCGTACGTTTCAACATCTTTTACTGTGTAAGCGGGTAGCTCAATATGATGCGGCCTCTCCCGCATTGCCGCCCATTCAGGCTTCAGGGCTCGGGCGAAGAATTCAGAAGTTCTTGCAAGAATATCTTGATGGACTTGGATCGACACGGCCTCATGCGCTGGTCCGATCACGAGCGTGATCATGGGTCCTCTCAGACTAGGCCATACTAGTTAGTTATGTCTACGCATCCCTTTACAGACCAACTTGCCGGAAAGTCTTCGAGACTTGAATGCGCGCGTTCGTAGGCTGTGAGATATTATTGCCGCTTGTGATTTCGATGTCGTCACACGGATCTGACTGGACACTTTCGTCATCATCATCGGTGTGATCTTGCACCATGTTTTCGGCATCGTCAAACAAACCCATGACTCTTTCTTGCGTTCTGAAGGACCTCGGGAGCTTGGCGTTTCGTCGCTGGTAGAATGCGCACTTGAGGTGTGGAATTGCGCGGGGTCTAGGGGAAAGAACGCCATTGAGTAAGCGAGGACCTGGTGGGCGCAGCCCTCACCAGGGGCGGCAACAATTTGTGTCGCATCCTCAACAAAATTGTTAGGGCTATTTTCTTACTAGAAGTATACATTATCCAAGACACTATATACTCACTTAGTTATAGTAGTATGTATGTAGCAAAGCCCGGAAATGCACCACAAATTATGACCACCTCTCGTGCCGTTGCGCGTGTAGACAACTATGTAGTCAACTCTGCGGACAGCTAGTACTTGTTCAAGCATACATCAAGAGGCTCTAGAGCAGAACAAAGTAAACGACAGTGGTGCGTTAACAAGCCCATTCTTCGTATACCGGTGGCTTGCTATCTCATCGCGACGTCTCATCACATAATTCACTCTTCCATAAAAGGAAAATGAACACAAAGCAGAGTAGAAGATGACAAGCAAAGCACTTCAAACAGGTTCGTATGCTACACAGGTAGCAGAGCAAGGGACACTGCAAAAGTGCAAAAAAAGAGATTTTGGTCACATCACAAGATGAGATTTCGTCGTGAACCTTCAGGACATCAGTATTCATGCAAATCAAGGCATATTAAACGTTATTACTCACAAGATTCGAACTTGCGAGGCCGAAGCCATTAGATAACTGAATGGAGAATTCAAGTCTAACCCATTAACCACTCTGGCATCACGACCGGTGAATTGATAGAAAAGAACGAGTTTCCAAAATTCATGACTAGAGCAAAGTACTACCCTTTCACACAGCCTCTGGATGATCTGGGTCAACATATATTATGCATGAGAATGGGCGTGGTGGGGCGCAGTCAAGTCACTGGGGCGCTTATCGAAATTTAGCCATGTCAAACTATGTGTCATTGGAACATCTAAAGACTACTCTTCCCACTAAGCACCCACAATTTCTCGCCGCCCACCTTGCCCTCCTGCTTCAGCTTGTCGAGAATCTGGCGTATTCCCCTCTCCGCCGGTTCCCAGAGATTCTCTGGATAGTCTTTGTAAATAACTTTCACAATATCCATAGAACCCATGCCTTGACTCTCCGCAAGTACATCCAACACCTGTTTCTCACGCTGCTTGCGGTGTTTTATATACTCAGTGATCTTTGATGGACCATCTTCGATGACAGGCCCATGACCGGGATATGCGCGACCCCTGAACTGCGTCGACATGGCGTCGAGACTCTTCATGTACGCTGCCAGATCCTCAAACACGGCTGTACCCTGACCTAATACGTTGTCCGCCGTGAACATGGCATCTTCTTCCTCCAACACGAAAGCCGTGTGGTCTGTGGTATGTCCCGGGCAGAAGAAGGCACGTAGGGTCGCGCCTTCCGTCTCAAACTTCTGCCCATCACTTATCGCGAGCCAGTCGTCGTGCGGATCGTTCTTGTAGACCCTTGTGTCCGGAGAATGCGCAAGTAGGTCGGGGACGCCTTGAATGTGATCGTGGTGCCAGTGCGTCAATAGTACTTTATCGATGGCGATGTTCTCCTTTGAAAGGAGCGCTTTGATCGAGGCAATCCATTGTGGTTTGCCTTCGCCAGTGTCGATGAGAAGTCGCGATGCGCCGCGACCTACTATGTACGTGTTCGTACCTAGATAGCTTAGAACACGTTTGCCGCAGGATTGTAAACGCATATACCTTGCAGCGTAAACTTGAGCTTTGTCAGATCGCGCCGCTTCTTAGATGATAACGGCGCTCACCTTGCTGGGGTTGCCGCCGAGGACCCTAATAACCCGATCGCTGACCTGCTCAACTTCTGGAAGCGATACCAAAGATTCTGCCATCTTTGAGTAGAGTGCGCGTGTGCTAGAGGTAGCTGACGGCCATCGCAATCGCGGTCGCATGGTCGCTCTGACCGCAGGTTACAGCTGGACCAGCACAGCCGAGGCACATTGTTATCGATAGTGGGATACGACTCAACCAAACCATCACTTTCCAGGTACACTGTGCGGCAGCTTGCCTTGGCCCAAAGTCAACATGTCGCCAATCGAAGACGACGATGAGATACCGTAGGTCTTACTAGCTGATCGCAGCCCAAATGCTAACAAATGAAGACAGCTTTCCGGCGATGCTCTTGCCGCGCTGAAAGAATTTTATGGCGAGCGGGATGCACGACAAAAGCAGTTTGAGGAACTAAAAGGCCAAGCCGAAGATGACTTTGAGGGGAAGTTGTCCATGGACGCCTTCACCGAAGACTGGAATGCAAGTCAATTTTGGTATAGCGACGAGACCGCTATGGTGCTTGCGCGACAGCTTCTGGATGGTGCGACCGATGAGACAAGGATAGCAGTCGTGTCTGCTCCGAGTGCTTTCATCCAGCTGAAAAATCTACTGGTGAGTACTCTGGAAGCGCAAGACGAGAAAAGCTGACCTTGTTAGAATTCGGGTGAAGTCAAGTGCCGGCCGCAGATCAAATTGCTGGAGTTTGACGAACGCTTTGCCGTCTTCAAGGAGTTCGTGCGCTACGACTTCGAGAAGGCGATCCAGCTACCAGCTGAGATGAAGGCCTCATTCGATGTCATCATTTGCGACCCGCCATTTCTAAGTCATGATTGTCAAACTAAAGGTACTTCCATGATATGTCTCCAACAACCGTGGGTTCGATGTCGCTAACACGACATAGCTGCTTTGACTGTACGATGGTTAGCCAAGTCATGGACGCAAGATTCTCTGCGTCTCATTGTCTGCACTGGCGAGCGTATGGAAAGTCTGGTTACAGACAAACTATACGGGAAAGTAGGAACCAAGACGACTGATTACGAGATCAAGCACGCCAAAGGACTGAGCAACGAGTTCAGATGCTACGCGAACTTTGAGTGCCCATCGTGGAAGTGGGCAAAGTCATGACCCGTGAGAACATGGGGTAGCTATACTATACTTGAGAGGATGGATACTTCTACTACCTATGCAGTAGTGTTTAAGAGCAGATGATCGTGATTGTAATATACATGTGAAGCAAGGCGGAACCGTCCCGCCAAACAGCTACCCCACATGTCCCTCGGTCAACCCCACTTCGCTCTCAAAGCATAAGCTCGCTGCGTCATCTTCATTCACCAACCAGACCTGTACCAACCAACCAACTACCCATTCCACGAGTACCACAATGTCCTCCGCTGCATGCATCTTCTGCAAGATCATCAAGGGTAACAACCTCTTAGCTTGGCCGTTCTCGCAATCGACAATGGCTAACAGCAGGACCAGGCGAGATCCCTTCGATGAAGATCTTCGAGAGCGAGAAGACACTTGCTTTCCTTGACATCGGTCCTTTGAGCAAAGGCCATTCTGTATGCTTTCTAGTCCCTCCAGTATCAACCAGCCAAGACTAATGTGCCGCCCAGCTGATCATCCCCAAACACCACGGCGCAAAGCTCCACGACATTCCCGACGACCAGCTCGCCGAAGTCCTCTCCGTCACGAAGCGAATTGCTATCGCGCAGAACATCCAAGACTACAACATCCTACAGAACAATGGAAGGATTGCCCATCAGGTCGTGGATCACGTACACTTCCACCTGATCCCAAAGCCGAACCAACAGGAGGGTCTCGGGATTGAGTGGCCAACTAAGGAAGCGGACAAGAGCGAATTGAGCAAGCTGCTGGAGGAGATCAAGAGCAAGATGTGAAGCAGCGTGTATCGCCCTTGTACATGGCATCAATAAAGCATGTTGACTCAGGTCAGAGGCGCATATCTCAGCACTTGACCAGCGCTACTAACATTCGATTATTCTCCCTTGAACACGGGTTTTCTCTTCTCCTTGAACGCGGCAAGCGCCTCATCCCTATCCTTTGTCCTGACCACAAGCTCGTATGCAGCATTCTCAGCCTTCTCGCCCAACGCGCATCCCTCGACCGCTTGAAGCGCGGCCTTGATCGCTATCGGTCCACCTTCACATATCTCCCTTGCTAGTCTAATCGCTTCATGTAGGACCTTCTTCCGCGCAGCCCCTTCTTGTTGCACATCCTCTGCCGTGATCTCTACTAACCGGTCGCACAGCCCCAGGAAGTAGGCTTCTGGCGCGGCAACACGGCGGCCTGTCAAGATCATGTCTCGTGCGCGCGAGAGGCCGATCAAAGCGGGCAGACGATATGTTCCTCCCGCGCCAGGAAGGATGGCAAGACGCGTCTCGGGGAGGGCGACGGTCGTAGTAGAGGCGAAGACGCGCATGTGTGTGGTGAGGGCTAGCTCGAGGCCGCCGCCGAAAGCCGGTGCTGCCAAAGCAGAGATTGTGGGGATGGGTAGTTGCGATATCGACGCGAATGTTCCTCGTAGCGTTGTGAGAAAGTTGGATGTGCTGCCATGTGTTAGCTGCCGCTTGTACCATTGAAGAGACTAGACATACTCTTCCTGGGTAAACGTAGCCCTCTCCTTGAGGTCCGCACCCGCGCAGAAACTTGTCTCTATGTCGCTCGCCAATATCAACGCCCGCGTTGATCCCGTGTCCCCCTCATTGTGCAGGCTGTTCACTTGTTGCGTCAGCTCTGTGAGCAATTGCCGTGATATCGCATTGCGTGCCGCGGGTCGGTTGAGCGAGAGTATTCGTATGCTTCCGCAGTGTGGTGCTGGGACGTTTGTGACGTTTATAGCCGGGGCTTGGGCGGTTGCATAGCCGCGAATTCCAACGGCGCGGTGTAGGACACGGGTGTGGAGGCGGAGGAGGGGCATTTCGATCGTGTAGAGAGTGTTGTTTGTGCGACTGCGATGGTTCCGTAGTCTTCCCGCCCAGAGATATTCAAGTCTGGAGCTGGAGCGTCGACGTTGTGCGCGGCGTGTTTGGCGACCTCATCGCTGATAGACCGCAGTTAGCCGAGGCACCGCGACGGCACAGCTCTTGATCGATTCAATCATCGTTCCTGCGCGAAACCAATCTCTCAACCAGAGAACACGGGTTTGCCGGCACGACCAAGCCTTGACGCCTCTCAGGAATTACACAATGATTTTGTTTGCAAGTGTTGCGGCACATCTCCGACGGTGCTTGATACCTAGGTATTTGGTTTTGTTCCTGGCCATGTTCAGGTGCACATGTTCAAGCTTTCAGTCCGAAGACAGCAGTCGACGTGCTCATATACTATCCGCAAACCGACAGTAAGCCTTTGAATCCTCATGAGCAAACCAAAAATCATCAAGAGCAATATTGGCCTCACCTTAGCTTCCAAATAACCTAGGCGGTCGTCTCGTCTATCACTCATCACAATTTCCGACAATGAGAGCAGCGACTTTCGCGTAACGAACTGAGGATAAGACAGCTTTTTTTCGTTATTTGCCTCACTTATCCATGTAGCAGTTTTTGATCCAAACACATTGAGAAGGTTTTATTCCGGTTGCTGTACTTGATCAATCCATATGACAATCCAAAGTCTACCTTGCACCCAGGTATCTGGAGAATCATTGGCCGATGTAGACTTTGGAAGGGAAGTATGCCATCAGGGACGAACGACATGCAAATGCAAGGCGAAGTCGATCAAACACCCTTGGAAGCTAGAGATCCCTTGTCGTTCTATCGTTCTATCGTAATTACACTACGCCTTGTACAAGGATAGCCTTTGGTACTTTCTGCCAAGTAGAGACACTCCTTGACTCAGCATAGCTTGAGAACAAAACCTGGGTACCGGCAACCGTCACGTACAAAGCTATCGAAGGCCAAATCTCGTAAATCACCGAGAAGTCATGAGTGCAAGCCCTGACCATTTCGTGTTGCACTGGAAGGACATTCCTTGTATGGATGCCCGGTTATCCACCTGCCCATACTTACGAATCGAAGTCACGTTCTCATCTTGGTAGCAGGAGCCCAGCTTCATACACATTCAACCAGTCCGTATTCCAGGCCCAGAGCCTCCCGCTGGGCCATCAATTCCTGCACCGTTACGTATGTAGTGCACCCTACATGGACACACCCGTAGACCTGGGCAATTGTAATGCAGCATCCGCACCTATGAACGGCTTTCGGCAACCGCGGTGCGAGATTTTCTATCCTGTCAACAACTCAACCTGACGATCTAAGCCCGACTTGAGGCTCAACTTCGGCCCAGGACGTTTGCGGGGAAGTGACTTGTGGAGCTCCGGAGCGATCGCCATGTCACGATGCTGGGGTTCCCAAGGGTGCATTCCTTCTGCTGGCTTAGCGCCTACCGAATACCTCCACTGGGTCCGACGCTTGCTCCATGCACCGAAAATTTCTCTTACCCATGAGCCTCGTGACGATGCCTACCGATGTCTCTCGGGACTTTTCGTCGGCAACACACAAAATCCAAGATCTCGCCCCGCTTTAGGGTGAACAGACAAGCTTGGAGGCGTGGAGCTTACCTAGGTAGTCGTGTGTTGTCGTATTTCGCGCACTTCCCCATACGCGCGAGTCGTGATGGAAGGTGTACCGGTGTTGTGCGGAGATTGTTTCGTGGAACGTTCTTCGATCAAACTGCCAGTACCAGAACTGTGGTTCACGGCACGTGGATGTACGTAGTAGCAGCATCATCCAGGATTCATCCCCAGGAAGCTAACCCTGCCAGTTCGACTGCAGCAGCAATGCAAGGCGACTCTCAATCGCGAGTCATGAGCCAACCTCACGATCCCCGCAAATTATCGCGAGTCAATATTCCCGGCTCCGACCTCTTCGTTTTCTACTCCACAACCATCTGCCGACGCGCATGCACATGTCCGACCGCCCCCTTGGCAACCGCTACGCAGCCTTGAGATGACGTCGTGCGCCTTAATAGCAGGACAACACTGGTATGGTACGGAGGTGTGGAGACTCCGCAACCCGCACGGGCAAACTTCGGGACATGGTGGTGGCTGCCTCATCGGCTTCTAGCCTTTTGATCGGGACGAGGACTGCCACCGGGCGGACGAGCATGCGCCGAGAGAAGAGCAGTATATAAGTGCTGCTGTGCACAACAATGATGGTCATCCAGGCACTCGATTCACCCTCGACAATCCAGAATCATGGCACCTTCCCTTGTCTCGGCCGTACTTTCGGGCTCTGTCCTCCTGGCAGCAGTCAATGCTCAGAACTTCGAAGGCGGTGGTCGTGATGAAGATGCGTTTGAGTACGTACAGCCACTCAACACCACCATCTTGACCGAGTATGGCTCCTCACCAGCTGTCTACCCGTCGCGTAAGTTATCCTAATCACCAACCAAGCTCGCTCGTAACCAACCTAATGCTCTACAGCAAACATCACCGGCGCTGGTGGCTGGGAGATGGGTCTTGAGAAGGCGAAAGCTTTCGTAGCCCAGCTCACGCTCGAGGAGAAGGCTGATATGGTCACTGGTCAAGCCGGACCCTGCGTTGGCAACATTGTTGCTATCCCTCGTCTTGGCTTCCCTGGTCTGTGTCTTCAGGATGGTCCTCTTGGGATTCGTGTTGCAGACTACGCCAGCGTCTTCTCCGCTGGTGTCTCTGCCGGAGCCACATGGGACAAGGACATCATGTACGAGCGTGGTCATGCCATGGGTGCAGAATTCAAGGCCAAGGGCTCCCAGGTCTTCTTGGGTCCCGTCGCTGGTCCTCTCGGACGTTCCGCCTATGCAGGCCGCAACTGGGAGGGATTCTCCTCTGACCCTTACCTCAGTGGTGTGGCAATGGAGAAGACCATCAACGGTATCCAGGATGCCGGTGTGCAAGCCTGCGCAAAGCACTGGATTGGCAACGAGCAAGAGATCATGCGAAACCCGCTTTACGAAGACGAGAACGACAACACCGAGCAGACGACTGCGGCTCTCTCTTCCAACATTGACGACCGCACCATGCACGAGCTTTACATGTGGCCCTTTGCCAATGCTGCCAAGGCCCGCGCTGCCAGCTTCATGTGCTCTTACCAGCGCATCAACGGCTCTTACGGATGCCAGAACTC